TCTTTAAACCAGCTATGTCCTTATTTAATGTGAAGCACATAACTTTGGCAGCCAAATTTATTTTTGCCTGAAGACTGTTTTAATTAACACTAGTAGGTCATTCTGACTAAAGAAGAGTGCAATGGCTTTCATCTTAATCTTTCACTCTTTAATTAGAGATTGGCCTGAAACCAAGCCAGGAGCCCACACATCTGCACACCCGCGTATACTGGGCCAAAGTCATTATTGAATTACATGCTCTATCTCTCTATCTGTACACAATGCAACAGTGACTCTTGGGAAGTTGCTCTGTGACTCCAATACTGTAAAACTTGTCCCCATGCCTCTGTGAGTTTAGGTCAGGGGTTCAAGACCAGTATCTAGAGATGTAGCCTGTTGCCCTTGCCTACAAAATCAGAACCAAGTCCAGATTCTTAAAATAAGCCTTAGTTCATCATTAAGTATCATATCAATGTGAATGGCAGCTGTGGCAATAACATTCAGGGAAATGTTTGCTGAGCAGCTAAATAGAAAATTATTAATGTAATAGTTACAGAAGAATGAGAGAGAAGGACCATAAGGATATCTGGACTTAAAAGAATAGGAAGATCAGATAGCTGGCAAGTAGCAGCAGCAGAAGAAAGTTAGCAGATTTTTCTATGGGCATTCACAAATTGCAACAAAAGAAATTCCTATCAGACATATGGAAGCAGGTTGTCCAGAGAGGTTGTGGAATCTGCATCCTTCAAGATTTCAAAAGTTCATCTGTACAAGTCCCTGAGCAAGTTAATGTTCTCCTAGCCTAGGCTGGGCTGTCACCCCAACTAGCCACCACTGCTGCTTGGGCCACCTCCCCATCCTCTCCATGGCATCTGATTAATTATGACCCCTGTAACTGTCTCTTTAGACAATGAGGAATGTTAATCCTGGGTTTTGTTCCCTCTCACAGTTTTATTAAGACCATAATAAGGAATATTTTTTTCTTGTCCCCTGTCAATTTAGACTGAAAATTTGGGTAAAGGGATGATGTGTCTCTTGATTACTGGAGGGGTTGATGGTCATTGAGACATTGCACATAACACTGAATAAGCTCAGTGAAGTCTCTGTCTTGAGTAGTCCTTTTTCTTTCTCCATATTTGTTCATTTTCACCTGAATTGTAATAGGATCAGTATATGAGTTTTAGAAGTTGTCTGACATCACCAATCTCTGTGCACCTGTCTGCTGGCTGGTCAGATTACAGCTTTTTTTCCGCTCTGTTGCTCAGAGCATAACATTTCATCATCCCATTGCATTAAAACATAAAAAGAGCTGCTCTAGGTCAGATAAAAGGTTCAGTCACCATAATTCCAAAACTGAACAATGCCAAACAGTTAAGGAGAAAGAGCAGAAAGAACAGGGTGAGTATATAGTATTACAACATGTTCATTCTTTGCTAGATGCTTCTATTTTCTAGAAATTGGCCACAGATGGGGTTTATACAGCAGTTATAAAGGGTCACAGTTTTTAATAGCCCCCAGTGGCTCCAGCCCATCAAGGGCCGTGGGGCACCTGCAGCATCACATTTCACAGTGCTGCTGATCACATACCCTGTGAATGAGCCCACTTTGCCATTTGTGTTTAGACAAGACCATTATCTCTGCAAGGTCTTGCTCCCGTGGTAAGGCCCTAATTTTGTCTTCCCAAAAGAAAGACCACTCTGGTCTGGTTCAGTCAATAGCATACCTCCCTAGAAAACTTGCCTCAAGAACTTGTTTAGAAACAGATTTTATCTGACAATTTAGACTGTCCCACAGCAGAAACAGTTCTACCCTCTCAGCAGGGCTCATGCCCCACCTTCCCTCCTCACCCCGTAGAATGGGGGGCTTACATGTCGTATTGTCTTTGGCATGAAAAGTGATTTCTAGTCTATTTTTTTAAAAAATCCTAACTAGAGCAGTGCTGATGTGCCCACTTAGTTGTAGATGTGTTTGAAGCCGTTATCTCTGGGAAAAGCATGAAGAGAGTTGTAAGGCAGGCAGCAGAAGCTTCATTGCTCAGAAGCCCTGGCCCTAAATTGGCAGGGACCTGTGTGGGGATTCAGCAAGGAGTGACACCACCCTCCCCAAAGCAATAAGCTATTTAAACAGCACACTCTGTACTCTGGGCTAGCAGGAATTTGCATAACTGTGCAAAGCCATCGAGCCTGGGATCTTCTAAATAAATGCCACATTTATCAGTCTCTGAAGCACAAGAACATCCCACCTAGCCTTCCCCAACCCCATAAATCAGTGTCATTAATGAAGTCAGATAGCTTCATGTTTTTCTGTAAGGATTAAAAGAATAATCCACAGCCACTGCCAGGAAGAGGCAGAACTAAATAGGCAGCAAGGAGTTAGAGCCAGAAGAGAGATATAAAGCTAAATCAATCATCAGAATGGACTGCAACAAGAGCATATGCATACAGAGCAAGAAAGAAAGCGAGAGGGCGTATTGTTTGGGTAGCTAATGTTCCCTGGACAAGGAGAGAGAAAAATTCTCCTTTGGGTTTTTAATGCCACTCTAAATATTTATAGCAAGATCATATCCAGCTGGTGAGGCAGCAGCAGCAGGGAGTAGGGAGGGAGGGTACATTTCCCCAGCACCTCAACTTCATTTCTTTACTTGAGAAGAGGGAAAAGGCTGCAGATTGCCGTGTTTACCCTCAGAGTGACTCATCTGCAAGAGTCAAGGCCAGTGGTTCCTGCTCTTCCCTCCCTCACCTCTCCTCATACACGCATGTGCACACACACAGATTGGGTGGGCAGCCTCCAGAAAGCTGTGCCAGCCTGACTCCCCCATCTCCAACATGGGGCTGGGCCTTCAGGGTTTGATTGGCCTTCAGGCACTTCAGCACATCCTTACACTGCACTGAAAAGCCTCTCAAAAGGCCATGTACACCATGCCCATGATCAAAGCTGCCATTTTCAGAGGAACAGGCTGCCCACATCCCTGTGATCTGCTGCACCATGGACACAGAGGCAGCAAACACCAGCATGGCACAGGAGTTGACACGAGGGCACTGTGGCTCCCAATGGTTTTTGCTCATCTGCCTCGCTGTAAATACAGACATGACTCAGCCGTGAGCTTTGGCTTTGAAAATATGAGAAGGCCTTTTGCTTTAACCTTGTGTTTCCCTGTCGTAGTGATGCTTAAAAACTACATTTTGGATTCAACCCCACCTTAGAACAAAGGGAGAAATCTCAGCAGAGATGAAGAGCCCAATCTAGTTACCCAGGCAAGGGCAGCCAATTCCATTTCTCTGGAAACACCCAGGAACTTGGTATAGAGCTGGGACACAACACACTCGACCTTTTAAAGACCCTGACAGAACACCAGCTGGGGTTCTGGAGGATCCTCCCCTGGCACAAGGTGTTTGAGTGATCCCAGCTCTGAGGATGGATTTAGGCTCATCATCATAGATGCCTACCATGGGAGCGTTAAATATGGGCACCTACGTGTGATTGAGGCAGCTGAGCACCTGTGGACACCCAGCAGTGCCTGGAGGAATGTTCACCTGCCCAAATACAGGTTGCACATACTGGTGACCTGAATTACTTGGCAGACTCAGTTGTATTGACTAGACCTCACTGTCTGCAAAAGGAGCTTAGATACCTTGTTCATGTGCAGCCATCTGCAGTCAGGGACCCCATCATGGTGTGTCCTGGGGAGCTCTCTGCCACCCTGGGAATTGCCACTCTGGAATCTCGGATTCCAACTTGCTACTCACTGCAGCAACCTGCTCCAGTCCTCCCACCTGTAACACTGAGCTTCCTCAAGCCATCTGATGGAGAAGTTCTTTGCTAGGGGTTTCAGAGATCCGAGGTCCTCAGATAAAAGGCCACGACCTGGTGTTTTCTATATGAAATATCAAGCAGCATCACAAAGACAAACTGCTCCAAGAGTGACATGCACTTTCTGCTTGGTGAAGGTAGTTGGGCTTTCCCTGCTCACCTTGGAGCAGTGCTGGATGCAGGGGTCCCAGTGCATCAGCATCTCCCACCACAATGCAACAGGCTGATGCTCCCCAGATCTCTCCATAAGGTGGAGACACGGTCCATCCCGCTGGAGTCCCTCGAAGCCCTTCTCTCTCCGCCCTTCCCCATGAAACGACGGTGACAGCGCAGTGCGAGGCATTGCAGACTGTTTACAGGCTTCTAGAGTTCCCAGGCACTTCAGGACAGCGTCCTGCCACTGTTTCCAAACGGACAGCCAGGACTTTTTTAAGTGAACTTTCCTCTCCGTGTCTATTTATTATATGTAAACATTTGCCAGAAAAACACCACTCGGGCATGCTCAGAGCCAGGCAGGTCATTGCAAAAGGCAGCGGCGGCGTCACATGCGATAAGAGCGCGGAGCCCGTGTGCGCCTATTCTTAGCGCTGGAATGTACACAATGCCCGCGCCCGCCGCTCCTGCGCGCAGCGGCACCGCCGGCTGGGCACTAACACGGCCAGAAATCACCCTCCATGAATCACCCACCTACCGAGAGAAACCTCCCGTGGGTTTATAGGTTTTTGTCCAGGCTCTAGCTATGGAAAAACTCAGCAGAGAATAAACGGCAGAGAGTAAGTGCATGCAGTGAAGGACAACAGAAGGTAAACGTTTCTACCCTTCGGTTCCACTGCAGATTGAGCAGTTAAGCCATGACCGTAGATACTCATCATATTGTTCTGCCTGGCACTTAATTTAGCCATTGTGTGTCTGATTAACATAAAAAAACCACAGCTAAGCAGAGTTAATAAATAACTTTTAATGCAGATTCCCAGTCTCTAGGGTTCCGTTTGCCCTGCTGCAGAGTTCAGCTCTGCCAGATTTGCATTCTTTGGGAGTGACTAACTCTAGAGGAAAGAGGCACAAGCTACTAAACTGCTAATACTTTAAAACAGTGAATAAATGTCTAAGTGCGTTTATTCAACATGATGGAAATGGACAAACCGATTGCTTCAGCCCTCCAGCTTTAATCCAAAATCAGTGAGATAACTTCAGTGCTTTTGCTTCTTGCCAACGACACAGGCAATGCTGACCTCAGAGTTGCAACCTATCTGATAACTTTATGAAAGTTTTAAAGGGTCTTAGCGACCTTTTGGCTTCTTTATTATTTTCCCACCGTGCTTAAACCGTGTTCCATTTTTATGTGTAATAGTGAACGGATATTTACAGCAACATCAAAGTCCTGATTTGTTCCCTTGGAGCTGGATATTTCAATAAAAGCTGCTAAGAATTTGGGGGTTTTTTTCCTGCCAAGTCCAGAATTCATCTCTCTCGTATTTTGCTATGGAAGAGGGATCCACTGAAGAGTTTCTCTTCAAAGACCAGGACTTCTCCTCTGAACTGCTGAAGCAGCTGAATGCTCTGAGGCAGAGCAGGCTGCTGACCGATGTTACCCTCTGCTCTGGGGGCTTTGAAATCCCCTGCCACCGAAATGTGCTGGCTTCCAGCAGTCCATACTTCAAGGCAATGTTCTGTAACAACTTCAGGGAGAGTCTCCAGCCTAAAGTCACTCTGAAGGGCATCGATGCTGATATTTTGGATCAGATTATCCTTTATGTTTACACTGGGGAGATTCTAATTTCCACTGAGAATGTCTTGTGCCTCTTGGAGACTGCATCCATGCTGCAATACACTAAGCTGTTTGAGGCCTGCTCTACCTACCTCCAAGACAAGCTGACTCCTGACAACTGTCTGAGCATGATCAGACTGGCAAAAGTCTTGAACTGCCAAAGTCTGAATAAGAAAGCCAGGGCCATGGCTTTGAAATATTTTCCTGTGGTGGCCTCTTCTGAGGACCTGAAGGACCTCTGTCCCATGGAGCTCATTGATTACCTTGGGGATGATGAGCTCTGTGGGGAGGAGGAGCAGGTCTTTGAGGCACTGATGGTCTGGATCCGGCATGACCTCCAGGCACGACAAGGCTACATCCAAGAGTTGTTCAAGAAGGTCCGACTTCAGTACGTCCATCCAACTTTCCTCTTCCATTTCATTGCTAATGACTCACTCATTCAGTCCTCACCCACTTGCAGGAGCATCCTGGAGTCAGCCAGGAGACACATGTTTTCCTTGTACAGCACCAACACTCCTGACGTCAAACCCATGGTGCATGTTCCTCGCCGGTACTCTAACCAAGAGTTCCTCATCGTCATTGGTGGCAGGAAGGACAGCCAGCAGACAACGAGGGATGTCCTGCTGTATGATGACAAGACAAACCAATGGCTGAGCCTGGCTAAACTTCCCATGCGCCTCTACAAAGCCTCTGCAGTGAGTTTACACAGCAATATTTTTGTGCTCGGAGGGATGCCTGTTAGCAATAAGAAAAGTCTGGTCAGTGGTAATATTTACATTTATTCCCTCAAACTCAATCAGTGGAGGTTGATTGAGCACATGCTAGTTCCACGTTACTCCCACAGAAGCCTGGCATATAAAAATTATATTTTATCATTCGGTGGAATTGGTGAAAACCAGGAAATCCTGAATTCTGTGGAAAGATACGATAGTGTCTACAACACCTGTGAGAGCATGGCAAACATGCCTGTTGCTGTCCTTCACCCTGCAGTTGCTGCAAAAGATCAGAGGGTTTACCTCTTTGGGGGAGAAGATATAATGCAAAACCCTGTTCGGCTTATCCAGGTAATAGTCAGTCCTGCTGGTCAAAGGCATTTCTTCTAAGGTATTCAGCAGTCATCACCTTCATAAGGAAATCAAACCACTCAAAAAATTTCATTTTGTGTTGCAGCAAGAGGCAGGATGAGTTGATCCATGGCCTCAAGGAGCATTGCAGCTCTTCCATTTTCCTCTTCTGGATGTTTTTCAGGCAGCAGCCCCCAGGCACTGCTTTGGGTGTCAGCCAGCTGTGCCACTGGTGGGCACTAGAGCCAGGACAGGTGATGCCATGGCAGGCAGCAGCAGCTGCCCCTGCCTGGTTTCATGCCTGTACCAATCTCACCAAAATCAGTGCTTTCCACTTGGCGCTGAGCTGGGGTCTCAGCCATGCACCTGCTCGCTCGCAGCAAACACAAACACTCGTGATCATTAGAGCGATTAGATACTCACTCATCAAAGGGCCTGAACTCAAACTGACAGGCATTTTGGATAAACAGTTGTGTTAAAAATGTGGCTCCTGCCACATGTTGCTGGCTCTCTGCCTGCTTTCAGCCGTTACACTCTATTAGGAGGAAAGAATACATTAAATTTTTTCTTATCTGATTTGATGCTTTAGCAACATTGTCATGTTTCTTTTCCCATGAGTGTTTTCACTGTTCAGGGTGCTTTAACTGAAAAGGATCTTTAAGCTAAGATGGCAACCAGGACATGAGCAATGCTTTTTAATGGTACTTCATTATGAGGGGGAAGGAAATGTATTTATCATTTAGTGGGGAGATGCCCTGGTGATATTTGCTATATTAAGAAGCAGATAACATGACATAAAAGTTTGTCACCCAGATGCAGATGACTGAATGATCATCATCTGGCAACAGCTTTTTTTCTCACATAAATCGATGACTTAGATGCCACTCCATGTCCCTTTGCCAGTCTGAGTGCATACCAGTCACCAGCATAAATATAGCAGCTGGGCAAACACAGTGGCTGCCAGCAGAGCTAGGTTAAGATGAAGTTTGTTTGCCCAGAAAATTGCTAAGGCTAATAAGGAATACACAGAATTACTGGAAAATGAAATGAATCAGCTTGCCCTTTGGGAGAACTAGTTACAGTGATTTAACGGCCATGCAAGAAGCCTTCATATGGCAGATACACTGCTTTAATGCTTGTGCTAGCATCTCCTGAGCAGACAATCCTGAGGATTCAGAATGCTTTCCAAGGGGACATATTAGGAAAAAAAAAGGTATGTACATTCTCAGATTTCCAGCAGTTTGAGCCAGAGGATTGTATTTATTAGGACAAAATAAAACTCGGAAGTTCCTCTGTAATTACAGATGCCAGTTAAAATGAAACATAAACATCTGTGTGAATATCTTCATTTTTTTGTCAGGTTTACCATGTCTCCAGGAATATGTGGTTTCGTATGGAGACCAGAGTAGTGAAGAATGTCTGTGCACCAGCTGTAGTGATTGGAGACCAGATTATCATCGTAGGTGGTAAGGGCTCTGTTTCACCTTCCCTCTTCCTCCTTCTGCCCAGATCCTGTGAGTTTTCCCAGCCTTCCTGTTTGGGGTGCTCCCTCAAAATGCACCTGGATCTTGGGAAGAAAAGGAGTGTGCCCACCCTCCATACGCTTCTTTTATGGAGTCTCATGGCGATTGAAGTGGAGATAAGTTCTCCATGAGTCACTTTCTTACCCCAGGTAACAGTATCTGGGTGGAGGAAACAGGAAAAGCCAATGCAGGTTACTGCTCTTGGGAGGCAGCCAGGAGCATGGGGGTCCTGAACCTGCCCTGCTGACCACAGCCTGGTCCTCCCTGTCTGCTCTGCTTGGAAGAATGGAAAGCACGGTTACCACAGGGCCATGGATGGCTTGTGAGCATCGGTGGGTCTAGGAGGTGTTGGTTGGTCTTTTAGCTGCCTTCTGAGGGTAATCATGAAATATCCCAAAAGGAATGGGAAACACTTGGAAAGAGGAAACTTCTCAGTGTCTTTTTCAACCCAAGGACCAGCCTCTGCCCATGGCAGTTGGGTGTATCATATAATTCACAATTTGGCCCTCTACAGCCCATAATGGCTCTTCCTGACCACAGATTGCCAGGAGGAAGCATGTGTTGAATTATTTAAGGCAAAATGAGACACATAGGATCTTTAGCAAAGAAGAGGATTGAACCCAAACTGCACAGGACTTCAAGGTGGTGTCACCCCTCAGGGAGAGCCACTGCCATCCTTTGCAGTGAGAAGAGCTGAATCCAAAGGTCCAAGACTATCAGGCCCCTATGTGGCAGAATACTCTCACCATGTTTTTCTACATGGGCAAGGTACTACTGGGTGCCAGGCTTCCACACCTCCACTGCTCCAGGGCAATGGCCCTCCTACCAGCCCTTACATCCCAGCTGATGTGAGGTTATATCAGCTCTCAGAGGAAGAGCTGTCCCCTGGGCCACTGGAATGGTGGCCAGCACAGATGTGGTGCCAAGGGCTTTAGGAATGGAATGAGCACTGGTGGCATCATGCTGTTGCATGCCCAGCTCCAGTGAGCAGACAGCTACAATTCCAACCCAACACAGCCCATCACATGTGCCATTGGTTTCTGCATTTCCAAGTGAAGCTCCAGGAATCTGTTTGGTAAAAAGAAGTATTTTCAGATGTTTGAAGGCATGTGCAGGTAACTGCAAGCTCCAGCTGTGTTTGACAGATTGGTTGCCTGATCCAATGGGCTTTATTGTGCTCATCAAGCCTTGGCTGCCAAGGTGCTACAAGACAGGATGAGGACAGACAGGAAAGGATGATAGACAGACAGACAGGCTTTCCTGTGATACATCATCACTTCTTAGTTTAAATACCTTAATTCTGCCAAATTATATACTACTATATTAGGTTTTATTGAAGACCAGCATGAAATATATTATTATTATTCCTTCTGCTGGCCATAAGCACTTAATTCCCATCTGTCTCTTCCACTTTTGGCTTTGCATTCAGGGTACACCCGGAGAATAATTGCTTATGATACAAAAGGCAACAAGTTTGTTAAATGTGCAGACATGAAGGACAGACGAATGCATCATGGGGCTACTGTCATCAAGAACAAGCTGTATGTCACAGGAGGACGATGTCTCACCTCAGACAATGTCATCAAGGACCTGGATTCCTTGGACTGCTATGATCCGGAGACTGACACATGGACACCAAAAGGAAAACTGCCACACAAACTCTTTGACCATGGGTGCCTTACACTCCAGTGTGTCCCGTGTTCTAACCTTCTATAAACGACCTTTGGTGTTTCCTTGATATTTTATGCTTTTCTTCCCAGAGAGGACCCACCTCACTCTGCAGAGAGCACTTGGAGAATCTTCACGGGGTCATGCAAAGTCCTGACCTTGAAGGCACCAGCAGCGTTAGTCCTTCCCAGACCCTGTGCCAGAAAAGGTCATGAGCTTTGGGCTCACACTGTAGTCACCTGGCTGATATTGCATGTGGTGCTGCTGAGTCCAGCCTGGATGCCTTACCCAGCACCTCAAGAGGAAACAGAACAAAGATACTGGGTAAGAACCCAGTGTGGGATTTGTCCTTGCACAGACTTTAAAAGTGAAGACGGATGCTGGTATCTCCAGGGAAAGTAAGATTTTTGCTGTTGTGCAAATTCAGCTGCCTGCCACAGCCCTGTGCTACTCATTGCTGACCGAGCTTTCCATTTCCAGTGGTGGGAGTGTTTAGAATAGGAAGCCCTAAACTCCAGTCTTGTAGCCAGCCCAGGAGCAGCTGCTTGAGTTGGATGTGGTAGTCAGCTCATAAGAAATAAAATTTTAATGTTCCTAACAGCTAATTGGAAATTGGCAAAAGACCGATGCTTTGATCTGAACTCTCATATTGTAACAAGAAGCAGATTCGACTTTTCTGAGCTAACACTCTTCCACAGTGCAGGGAAGATTTTTGTTCTATCTGCCTGCCCTCTAAAGGATAAGGAAAAGATGGGATGGAAATTAAGATTGTCTGCATCTTCTTTTTCAAGGGATCTTATTTTGTAGGGATCTTCCTTCTCCTTTTGCATGAGGAATAGCAGTGGAGTTAGGATGACTATGGCTGATGGAGCTCCTGAAATGTAGAATAGCACAGAGGACACATGGAGGAAAGGGGATGTAAAAGAGAAGAGGTATTTGGGAGGAACAATTTCTTTTTCCCTTTCTCCTCTCTCCAAACCACTGGAAAAAAGCCCATGAGACAAAGCCAGTGACAGGAAGCCAGCTTTCCAAGAAGAGCAAGTCTAAATCTGCCACTTGGCAAAATAGCTCTGGCTCCACCAATATTTTCGTGGGGTTCTGCCACTAAGTGCATACTTTTAAAGGGAGGGGATTAATCATCAGACACTGAACAGGCTGTGAACTGCTGTTAGGTCACTGGGCTTGGTAAGATTGCTGAGATAGCAAGGAGCTTTACAGATGACCACGATCCAGAGCAAGGATGGCGGAAACAACACCCTTTTTTCTTCATATTTGAAAGACAGTGTGACTTTTCAAAGGGTACAGGATGGCACGAGGAAACTGTGCTCAACCTTCCTCTTCACAAAAGGCTGCACAGCCATGTGGTCACCACCACATTGCAGAAAAACAGCTCTAGAGACCAAGATCCCCTCCCATAAATTGAGCAGATGAGTGACAGAAACAGTTAACAAATAGAGGGCTGGAAGGAAGTATTTAGTATCAACTGCTGATTTAACAATGCAAAATAAAAGGGCTATTATTGTTTGCATGAGCTTTGTGTTCAGAAGTAACCATTGTTCTCTCCCTTTGTTGATAAAGGGAATTGTTTTTGCACCAGTGGGTATTGCCAGGGTTTCCTTCTAAGGATCTGAGTAAACCTGCGAAAAATAGGAGCTCAAACTCCTCTCCCAGCTCAGAAGCCTTTGGCTAGACTTCTCTTCTGTCTTTCAGTCTATATCATCATCTCCTCCCTGCGCAAAGCAGAACTAAATCATGGCACTTGCCAAACTGAGCTGGAGCAGTGATTCATCCTTGCTTCCTCACAGACCAGCTCCAGCTCTCTGGAGAAAGAAGCCTTGTCATGGCCAATTATGGAAAGTCTGCCCCAGGGAGATGTTTATTCCTAACCCTGCAGTGCTGCCTTCCCAAACTCCATCCTGTTGTGATCCCACTCAGCTCTGAGCTCCAGGAGACGCCGGTTGCTGCCATGCATTTTAGCTAACACAGATTCCTGCCAGGCTCGTGACTGTACCCAAAACTGAGGGGAAAAAAAAATTGACTTGGGGCCATAATCCCATGTTTGCAAACCATTGCCACAGTCATTGCTTTATGCTTAGAAGCGAGCAGCTTTTTTTTTTAATTCCCGTATCATATAACTAGTGATTTTCTTTGTGTTCACATGGGACCAAGCAGTACCATGCACAGCTGGGCAGGAAATGGGGAGTGCAAAAAAGAGGCAGGGCTGCAGCAGGATTGAGCACAGCATCTTTCCCCCATCTCTTGGGGAGCCCTCACTTCACCCCCAGGTCCTTGGAGATGCCCAGGTCTATGGCCAGCTCTGCTTTGGCTGCAACCTTGTACTCCTTCCCTTCACAAACTTCTCACCTCATGCCCATAGTTCAAGGAATTTGGGATTGCTGGGCATTAAATTCAAAACCTGATTTCTAAAAGGCTTTTGTCTTGTGGCGAATTTTGATGCAAACTCTGACAAAGTTTTTGGGGCTCTTTGAAGAAGAGGGGTTGATATCAGAAAACAGTGTTGAGACTTTCCAAGACAGACCAGGAATAGCAAAGTTGCTCAGTCACAGACAGGGAGCAGCACACACAGTTACAGGATGGGATACTCAGCTCTGGGTGGGCACTGTGGGGAGAAGGGATGTTGCCTTTCTAATCAGGTGCTGGCCACCACCTAGACCAATACCTAATACCATCCTCACTGCTTTACAGTTGTTAAAGCACTCCTGGCAAGGGTTGGCCAAGGTGCCTCTTTCTCCATTGTCAGGAGAGGACATTTCAGAGCTGGATCTGCAAGGTTGTCACTATCTGATACACTTTCACATGCTTTTTCAGAGATCTGATCATCTAAATATTCAAGCATTTGAGTACTCACCTAAATGGGAATCCCTCACAGGAAAGCAGCAAGGTTCTTCACAAATACAATGATGGCCCCATGAAAAGGTGGGAATTTGTTGCTCTTAATTTAATAACCATGAAAGCCATGGAAAAGAGGCTTTTAAAAAAGATTTCTTCTTGAAACTTCTAGAAGGGTTGAACACCTGCCACATTTTTTTCAAATCAGAGAGTGCTCTAAAAGTTCATCACCTCCAAGACCTTGTTTTCAGGTGCCCTGACACAGTCACCAGATCATGGAAACCATAGGACGACATGGCTGAAACCAGTCTGTTCCATGGGACAGTGACTTACCTTCATGGTACTTGTCCAAAGCACTGAAAATCTGCCAAGAGATGCTCTGACCCCTCTCCAAGTAACATATTTGAGGTGTTATTGGCCTCAGAGCTTTTAATACTATCTTCTTTGCTGTACCTTCTGCCACAGAGGTCAATTGATTACCCTTTTAGATACCATATATTTTTTACATCTTTAGAGTTCATTAGGATGTTTCAAAGTCTGTAGACTAAACAAACCCAGCCCTTTCAATCTTTCCTCATAAGTCATGTTTTCTAGACCTCTGATCGTTTTTGTTGCTCTCCTCTGGACAATTTTCAGTTTGTCTGTTGGTGGTATTTTTATTTATTTAAGTGCAGGGCCATGGCTCAGACTTGCAGTGCTGAGAAGGGCAATAAACCCTTTCTGCATCTTACCTACAGCATTCCTGGTCTCAGAGCCCGGAAGGATTTTGCTTTTCACAGCAGCAGCACAATACTGACTGGGGTTCAGCTGTCATCGCTGCTAAGGAATGTTTGCAAGTTTGGGCAAGGTCACATGGAAAGACTGCAGGACATCCAGAATCTCCCAGGGTTATTCCCTAACTCCATCTTTACTTTGGCGCATCAGGATCCCAAGTCAGAACCTGTTGTAAACAATGTCTCTCCATGGCTTCAACAAGGGGCTTTGGACATGGCCCTTATTATTGTGTTCTCAGCTGGGTTCATCACTAATTCTATTAATTTTAACAGCAAATATTTAATGCTTTAGTATTTTTTTAAAAAGCTAGGGGAAAAGTTTCAGGCAAAAAAAGAAAAGGAAGGAAGGAGATTGCATTTTCCTTTCAACTTTCTTTCCCTTGCCTTCCTGCAAACCCAGAGCTGAGTCCTGCTGCACAGCAGCCTGTGGTAGCAACCTCGCTTTGATCTCAGCAAAGAGTCGTAGGTTAAGCCTGTGTTTTTTCACTGTAACCATTTATCAAACAATGCAGTCCTTTCCAAGGGCAGCCTTTTTCTTCTGCAGTAATATGTTTATAATTATAATGCATTTCCTGCTTCTTTTTGATTAAACACACCTGACAAAGTAGGAAAGATGTCAGTGCATAAATAAACGGGCACACCAAGTTCATTGCTTTGTCAGTCCTCTTTTTCCAAATGCCAAGGAGTTCATTGTGAGGTGAATCCTCTAGCTGAGAAGGAAACAATTGGGTAGAGCATATATGAATAGCGTACAGGGTAATTTATCCCTGGCATTGCTCCTTAGCCTGACCTGAGAGCCATTAATAATTGACAGCAGCAAAAACAATCCCTTTTTAAAAATATAAACATTCATACTTTTTTCCAGCTGCTTGAAAGCTCCCCTGGCAGAAGTAGATGTCATGTTCTCCATGGCACAATGAGCCTGAATTCCTCAGTGCAAAGTTGCACCTGCAAAGGAGCTGAGATCTGCTAATTAGTGGGCTGCTAGTAATATTTTCAGTGGCTAAATCCAGTGAGTTTTCCCACAGTCCAAATGAACTAGGCTTCTTATGAACAAACCAATGTCTCAGGCTGCTGGTGCCACCCATGTCCACAGGGCTCCTCAGGGTTTGTGTTGGAGCCCTGAGAGATTGATCTGGCCTCTTGTGTTTATTGATGTTTCCAAAATAGTAGCAGAGTAGCGAGGAGCCCAAGTGTCCTGTCACTCGGCGAGTCACCCACTGGCTCCAGCTGCTGCCTGTCACTTCTCTCCCCAGAGCTCTTTGTTTGCCTGTACTTCTTTCATGTTGCAAGAACCCTTTCCCAGAAAAGCAAGCAGCAGCACATCTCGAGCAGTCCTGGGCCAACAGGCACATGTCTCGTGGCTGCTTTCAACACAAAGCATCCCCACAGCTGTTGGAGACTTTTGCCTTAAGAGTCAGGAGTGAGCCATGAGGTAAAACGCTGCTGGAGGTGGGAAAAGGTGGAAGAATCTGATCATGAAGATGCTTGTAAGCATCCTCCTATATCTAATCTTCCCATGTCCAGTTCTCTGAAGTTTGTTTCTTGACCAGGCTGTGCCTTCTGATGAATAAGCCATGTCCCACCACCTCTCCTTAAAGCAGGCATGCTGGGACAAGGACAAAGGCATGCCTGCTTCCTCAGATCCCCCAGTGCTACATCTGTAATGACATCCCCTGAGTTTTGCCCTGGTCTTGGCACATTGCTGTTTTCTCTCTGCTCTTGGATACCTTCCTAGACTCTGCAGTTGCCCTGAACAAACGTTTGGATGTGGCAATGACTGCCCAGAGCACCAGGAAGTGACACCAAGGACTCTCAAGTCCAAATTTTCAAACTGATGGGATGCTTCTGGTCTGGA